TGCAGAGCAACTTGCAGAATTGTGCTATGAGCACATTTTCATTATATATGAAACATCTCAACACATAATTTCTGACTGAGAATCACTGTTCACAAGCAAATACTGGTCAACTTTATGCTTCTATTTCAGTGCAAAATATAAGCTTAGTACTGCTTTCCACTCTCAAATGGACAGACAAACTGAGTGTCAAAATCAAACTCTGAAGCAATACTTACACTGCTTTATAAATTTCCATCAAGACAACTGGAGTCAATGACTTTTCATGACTTAATATGTCTATAATCAATCTCAGCATAGCTTCACAGGTGAAGTATCAGCAGTAGTTCTGATGAGATATCAATCAGATCTCTCTATTAATGTCAGCTAAGCACCAGAGTGTCCAGCCATACACACCACAGAACATGCAGAAATATTGACAGATATTTACAGAAAGCTGAGTGACAAACTTCAACAGATGTGAGACTCATAAAAGATATACTATAATATTAAGCATCTGCTGCAAAGTTATAAGATGAATGACTTAGTCATGCTCAATATTAAAAACCTCAAAATGATCTGTCCTGCAAGAAAACTCAACCACAACTTTATTGATTCATTTGAAATCATTACAGTCTGAAAGAAGCAATCATATAAGCTTCAACTACTCCCAATCTACTGCAGCATCTACTCTGTTTTTCATGTCTTTCTCTTGAAATCTTACACCAAATATAAGGGAGTGCCACCACTGCCAGAGTCAGAACTGATGAATGGAGAAGACAAATTTATAGTGAATGAAATACTTGACAAGTACATCTGATGAAAGAAAGTTGAATATCTAGTTCAATGACTTGGATGGGGATCACAAGATGACACTTGAAAATCTGAAGAAAATGTTGCAGATACAGAGATAATGAAAATATTTCTTAAAAAAGAGAAAATATGAAATGTAATAAGATCATCAGTCTCAAAGTGCAGCAAATGCTAAACATCTATTTTCAAAAATGCAAGATGCTCTACCTTCATAATGAACTAAATGCCAACAGATGTCTCACACAGTTTAATGAAGTATTGAAAATAAAAAAGAGAAATGCAAATGTTTTTTATTCAGATCTGAAGACTGCTGTCTACAGTAGACTTAAAATCTCAAAGAGTATAAAAAATAAAAAAGAAAAATTGTCTGAAGATCACAATC